GTCCAGAGTTCGAGACCAGCCTGACCAACATGGAGAAACACTGTCTCTACTGAAAATACAAAATTAGCCAGGTGTGGTGGCAGACACCTGTAATCCCACCTACTCGGGAGGCTGAGGCAGGAGGCGGGAGGCTGAGGCAGGAGGCTCGCTTGAACTCGGAAGGCAGAGGTTGCAGTGAGCTGATATCATGGCATTGCACTACAACCTGGGTGACAGGAGCAAGACTTCATCTCAAAAAAAAAAAAAAAATACTTGTAAAGACCATAGGGCAACACGGGGCAATGTAGCACAATGTTCAGTGCTGTGTCCTGTAGAGTAGGCACTAAATAAATGATAATACTAAAGATTCTGATGACAACAATCTGGTCTGTGACCTCCACTGTGACAAAATCACTTGGCCTCAATCCCTCAAGGGGCACTGACTTTGGCGAGTCAGGGAAACAAGACTGAACTTCTTCCCAGTGCTGTTGTGGGATGAAATACGATTACAGGGGATGAGACTGATGGTCTTTTGTTGAGAAACGTTAAGTTGTTGAGAAATGCTAAGTGTATGAATATTGAGAAATGCTGAGTGTATGATGGAATACATTGTTTGCTAGGAAGAAAAATGGCAAGGAAAACCTAGCCACCACCACTCCCCACCCACACACAGCCGCCACAAAGTAGAAAAGTACTTGTGACATTCTAAAGTGGCAGGACAATATATACGTATCATACACAAGCTAAAACAATTCTTTAAGATAACTGACCCTGTCTCCGTGGCTCCCTCGTGGGGAATACTTTTTAGTTTGTCTGTGATCAGTGGTAAGCAGGCACCAGCTGCCTACTTGGCATATTTTGTGTTAAGATAAAATACTCAACATCCATTTGTTGATAATAATCACCTGTTCAGAGAGAATAAATGCGTGTGTCAGCTTCTACTTGAGACCCTCAGCCTGAAATGCTGTCAGCTCCTGAGGCTCTCAGCTCTGAAGACTGCTGGCCCCCAGGATAGACCCACTCTGCTGTTCTATCTGGGGGCCTGCCTCTCGGTTCCTTTAGTGCCACCCGGGTGGGGGTCTCTGTGGCCGAGCTGACTCTCTGTAGTCTTCCTTCCTTTCTTTCTTTCTTTTAAAAGGAAAAATCTTGGGCAGGGAAGTACCAAACTCATGCAAAAACCTAGTCCTTTAAATCCCATCCCCCGCACACCATCATCTCCAGACTGTGGCCGAGAAAGGAGATCATTTCTCATTCAGAAATTAATGAGGTTTCCCAGAGTTGATGCAGCCACAGCAGCCCCATGTGAGTTCCCCAGTCGCGCTGACATCCACGTTCAATTAAACGTCTGGGTAAGCACAGGCGCCCCATGAGGGAACTGTAAAATCTCCTGCTGAAACTAGGTTTAGCTTTCTTTGGGTGTGTGCCCTATTCTTAGCTATATTTTTTCCCCAGGATTGTGGTTTTGGAACATGAATATTGATTCTGAGTTCTGTTCTCCTTGGAGATGTTCCCATCTGTCACCACATCTCAGAATGCACTTGGGGAAGATACTCCTCTTCAGAATGTGGATATGATAAAAATAATATTGATCACCAATTTTGGGGAGGTGGTCTGGGCTATTGGGAAGTGGTGGATATTAGTTAATGAAGAGTTACAGTCAAAAGACCAATTAATAAGAGTCTGTGACATGCAAGCTGTGTGACTTGGGACAAATGACTGGACCATCCTGAGCCTCTTCTGCAAAATAAGAGTGAAAGCACCTGCCCATTGATCTCCCAGAACTTATTAAATTCAGCAAACGTATTAAGAGTGTCTGCTGTGAGTCCCGCTCCGTGCTGAGCACTGGTTTGAGGTCATAAATAAGTCACAGACAGTTCCTCTCTTGCAGGCTTGTTGACTGAGTATCTATATAATTAACCATCCAAACCACACTTTTGAGAATGAAATAATCATCAACTGTATTAAATTATCTACCATGACCATAGGCGTCTGCAGGAACCAGGCAGAACAAACCAGGACCACTGGTTACCACTTCTCCATTTATTGTTTTGGTAAACATTTCTGTAACACCTGCCACCTATGCTCACCAGGGTTCCAATGTCAGCTCTGTCACTTCCAGCTGAGGGGCCTTTGGTAAGTTACCTTATAACATTCAAGCCTCAGTTTTCTCATCAGCTAAATGGGAATACTAACAGTATGCACTTCACAGGATTGTGTATTGAGGATGAGATAGAATGGGCAAACTTCTCAGAATAGTGCTGGTCACGTCATAAGCCCAATAAATGTTATTGTTTCTTAGCCTTGTATTGGGGTATCTAAACGAAATAATGTGCCTGAAATCTTGCAAAGCTTTTGGTAATATGGAAAGCCTGTTACAACCAAACAGATCTGAGGCCGTGAGACCTGATTCCCATTCATCAATAAGCCTCTAATGATCCCCTGTGATGGAGACAAAGAAACAGTTTCCAGCTCCTGGGAACTGGCGTGGTGCTCATAGCTAGACTGCGGTGTTTTTCTGGATGGAATCTCCCGGCATTCCGGCATCA